CAATTCAAAACCACAGTGAGGTATCATTTCATATTCAACAGAATGGCTATTATCAAAAAAAGGAAAATAAGTGTTGGTAAGGATGTGGAAAAACTGGAATGCCTGTACATTGTTGATGGGAATGATGGTGCAGTCGCTGTAAAAAACAGAATAGCAGTTTCTCAAAAACTTAAAGAATTGCCATATGATCCAGCAATTCTACTTCTAGCTATATGCCCAAAAGAACTGAAAGAAGGGACTTGAACAGTTGTACACCCAGCAACATCATTCACAAGAGCTAAAAGATAGGAATAATTCAAATGTCCAGTGATGAACAGATTAAGAAAATGTGATATTTACATACAATGGAATATTATTCAAACTTAAAAAAGTCTGAAAAGAAGGGAGGGCATAACTCAATGGTAGAGCACATGCTTAGCATGCCCAGGGTCCTTGGTTCAACCCCCACTACCTTCATTAAAAAAAAAGGGGGGGGTTGGTGAAAAAGAAAAAGAGGGAGGAAGGGAAGGGGGGAAGGAGTTCTGATATATGCTACAGCATAAATGAATCTTGGAAATTCTATGTATGCTAAATGAAATATGCCAAATACAAAAGGACAAATATTCATGATTCCATTTACATGTGGTACCTTAAACAGTCAAATTCATAGGGACAGAAAGTAAAATTGTAGTTACCCAGGGCTTGAGGTAGGGAGTAATGGGAGTTCTTGTTTTAATGGGTATAGAACATAAAATTTCAGGGTAGTGGTAATACGAATAGTGGTAAGAGTAGCTCAACAATGTGAATGTATTTAATGCCATTGAATTGTACACTTAAAAATGGTTAAAATGGCAAATTTTATGTCAGGTATATTTTATCATGATAAAAATTAAAATAATTTTTAAAGCAGTGTGATACAGTAAAAGACAGCCCTGAATTAAGAAAATGAAAATCAAACTGAGGTACTGATATTAACTATGTGCTCTTAGATAACTAACTTGACCTCTCTGGGATTCAGTTTTTTCACTTTTGAAATGAGAAGATTATAACAGATGATGTCAGTATTTCTTCTCAGTTCAAAACATTCCAGGGAAGCACATTCCAGATGCCAGACAAACCAAAGCTGAAAATAAGGTTGCTGCCACTCAAGTGGAGATAAGAGAATTAACATCCCAGTTAAGTCTTACCAGTTTTAAGAAGTTCTGTAAGGAGAATGTTAATCACAAAAGCAGACAGAAGAAAATAAACACAGCTTTGTAAACAAGGGAATTAAAAAGATCTATCTCCAGGAACATTAAAAACGCCCAACTCTATGTTCCTGAGGTCACAAACTGCGTTACTATGAAAGACAGGGCAGTTGAGCAAACATCATTTTGGGCCTTGTGAGGTGGATTACTGATTCTCTGTTTGCTAATAAATATTATTGGCATTTTTGTTAGACTTGAAGGGCCCAGTTTCTACTGAAGCTGAAATCATTTATTCTGGTGTTATTCTGAGCTAAAGCAGAAGAATGGCTACTTCAGTTTCCATTTCAGGGAGATAAAAAAATCAGTATCTGCCTCCCCTCTCCTCACCAATACAATGAACCTACTAGCACCACATCCTGTATTTCCTATTTAACACTGAACTCAAACACGGATTCCACAGAAGCATCTTCCTCCCACAAATTAACAGTTTAGTAACTTGACTGCTCAAAACCAAGCTATCTGGCACCGTGCTAAGAAAGGAACAGGTACTTGGATGGAATCCTTTATCTTGTAAAGAAATATGCTTTTGCCCACATTCCTATGAGTATGAAAATGGCTCATGTTATAAAGAAGCAATAATTACTAAAAAAAAAAAGAAAGAAAGAAAGAAACATGAAAGCAGATTTTGATTCAATAAAAGAAAGAGTTTTAGCACTGCCCAACAATGAATCCGGCTGCATGTGAAAGTAGCTAACTCCCTTTGAATAAAATGTACAAGCCTTGGATAGATGACCATAAATCAAGCTATGTCAGAAAGACTTAGTAACTGAGATAATAAGACTCTGCCTAACCCTTTTATCTCCAATTCTATGAGATCAGCATCATAATATCCATATACTACCAACTGGCACTAGGAGAATTCAGATTCATTAGCTGTACTATCATAACTAGCCTCTCTATATATGGAACTTCATGTTTACTATAAGACAAGAAGGATCTTGAGTTTTCAAAGATGATTAACAAAAGATAATGTATGTCTTCATTTCTTTCAGGCAAGAAAGGGATCAAAACTTTGGAACGAAGTAACCCTCCAAGAGAATCCTTGTCCAGCCACTGTGTGACTTTGGACAATTTATGTAACCTCTCTGAGTTTTAGTTTTATAAGAGGCAGTATCACCTAACCTCACAGGGCTATTATAAAAACTTCATTAAACTACATATCTGACACCGTATAAAAAAGTATTCTCTTTCAAATTCTACCCATTCTTTAACAACCCACTTAAAAGTTACCTTTTCCACGTTCTCCATGACTTTCTAAACCAAAGTAATTGTTCTCTGAACTTCCAAAATATACTTATAAATAAGATCACATTTTTGAAGCCTCAATTATAGAAAAAAAGGTGAACTTAAAACTATATTACAGTTGTAGTACAGTAAGTCTGATCAGAAAGAAAGGGGACTAGTGAATATCTGATTACCTATTTTAACTATTTTAAAGTGTTCATATTAAAAAGCTTAGACATCCTTATTAGTGTACAAGTCCAGGCCCAAAGTAATTTTCCAAATTCCTCCCCCACTGTATCCATTCACAGATCTAATGGACTAACCCTAACTTTGTTCAAACAATATTGTCACCTAGGAGTCTCTACACCCCAGTCAACCTCAAACCTGGATATCTAACTGATACAGCCATTAAAACCCAATTCTAATGCCAATTCTCTGAAGTCCTATCCATCCCTCAGGTCCTAGAGAAATTTTTGCTTTCTTTAAACTAACAGCACATTCTGTTTAAGCCTCAACTTGGTGATTTAATGACAACTGTTCACATATGTGTTTAATGTCCTGCTCCTCCTCCCGCCCCAACTAGACTGTAAGTTTTCATAGTCAGGGCGTATCTTTTACCCTCACTGCATTCTACTTCATTCTTTCCCCAATCCCAACACATAGCACAGTGTCTATCAAAACACAGAAAATCAAAAAATATCTGATGACATCTAATGTCCCTTAATACAATTGAAGCTTCTTAAGGGAAAGAAAAAATGGCAAAGGAATGAAAAGGAAATTGAAACAAAATTGAGGTACTTATTTTTAAATTAAAATCGTGGATCAAGAATGTGTAAATTATCAACGTTCAATTTAGAGTTGCTAAGAATAATTATAGTTTACTTTCTATTACTAAGGAAAACAATTTAAAGAAGCTATTTCAAAGCAATACAAAAATATCACTGAAAAAATGCAGAAGTGGTCTTACCTAAAAAAAAAGAATCACCTCCAAATAAATATTAGTATTCTGTGATCTCATACTTTTAGTATTTAATTGGAATATTTTCATTTAGACGTCAGCAGACATATTTTAAGCCACATTTGGAAATATTTATAGTAAGCCTTACACATCCTTGGAATAAGCCTTACCTATTTAAATATTCAATTTTTTCATATAAAGAATATAATTCACTTGGAAAATTTTGGTTGTATTTTTTAAGTATTTTCTATAGTAAACTGCACTGTTTCTAATAAAATTTTAGTGTTATGAATGATAAATAAATCAGCATATAACTGAGATAATAGTACTCACAAATATCTATTAAAATTGATATCAACTTATTAACTGGGACATATCTCATGGTTTTGTGTAATAGATCAGAATATTATATTTGGCTCAAATGCAACATGCCATGCATACACAAATACAAAGTTACAAAGTGAAATTCTGAACAACATAATGTGATATATGAGGAATACAGACAATTAAGGACAAAATTAAACTTACCAGGAGAAATTAAGAATAATCACTTAACAATGATTTCATTTTACAGAAAAGCTAGTTCCAAGACCTAGTTAACTTCAAGTTCTATATTTTTTAATTTTCTTAATAAGCAGGCAAATTTCCTTGAAAATGTGAGCACTGACAAGTATCTTTTTTCAGAGGGGACACCTGGATACAAGTATCATTTCAAAAGTTATATATTATTAAAGGAAATATATTTTTAAGAAATGAAGTACTTTAGATTAAGAAATCGATATGTATTTTCTGAAAATTATGCTGTTTTTCATAAATATCTAATGAAAATACACCCGACAAAAAAAATAAGATTACTAGTTAGGATAGGAAAGTAAAATATATTCCAAATGACTGAAATAATCCAAATTTGTAAATGTAGAAACATTTCACTAGAATTTCATGTATTTAAGCCTTATACAGTTAAATAATTATTCCTTTAATATATTAAAACTACTGCTTTCAACTAAAAATAAAAGTATGATTAATAACTATAGGCTCTCTTTCATAAATCTCTTTCAATTCAGGAAATATGACCTCCAAGTAAAGTAATCCAAAACTAAATGAAAGTTAAGGGCTAAAATCAATTTCTTCCAAAATGCAGTGACTGCACACAGGCATATCAAATATACTAAATCTATATCATGGGTATACTTTTTTCAGTGGCTAGGAATACCATGAAATTGTATGTAGTTGATAAATACTTTGGCCTTGATATGAATTGTAAAAAAAAATTTGTATCCCCTCAAAAAGGAAAGAAGGTACTTGCTCTTGCAGTTCCCACTACAATGTGAAGCAGCAACATTTTACTAATAGCTGCAACATGAATTAACAGTTATTATCCCAGCAACAGTTACCACTACTACGAAAGATGTTATGATCTAATACATTTCAGACATTTAAAAAAAGTTATATTACAGTATTAACTTCAGAGATTTTTCTAAGGTTTTGTATAAAACTAACACACTGGCATAAGACAGATACAACTGGGTTTTTTTCTCTCCTAAAACAGTAAGTGAAAATTTTCATAAACCACATTTTAACATAATACTTACCAGCATGTGGGTAGTTTAAGAAGTTTACCATAAAGAGCAGTGCTGAAAGAGGGAATAATGGGAACAGGTAAGCAGTAAGATCCCCTACAATCCAAAGACGTCAGTCCTGCCTGGAAACCAAATATCTGAAACAAGAAGAAAAGATCCAAATGTTCACAGAGACAATGTTTTAATAAGCACAGGATGAAATACGTCAGTTTCAATTTGCTCTACAACAGCTGCACACTAAATATGTTCCAATGTCTTTTTCCACTTCCCAAACATGAACATTTTCTTTATTCAATTTGATACTAAGAATTGAGAGATTTAAATATACAGTATTTCATTCACAACCCTGAAAGATCACTGCTCTTTTCACTAATTTTAAGTTTCACATTTTATTTCTACACATAATTCTCCTTTAGCATGTTACTGTCTGCTAAAATGCACATATTCTCTCTTAAGATATATAACTGACTACACTGTGCATAATACAGATATTAACTTTAATAAATTACTGTTATATCATTTTATGCCTAAAAGAACAGTAACTACATGAACAATCTTAAAAATGTATTTTGCCTTCAAGTTACAGTACACACACAAAACAGATATCCAGATATACCCATAAGTGTTACATCTTTTCCACTTCTTTTGTGAAAATAATTGTAGAGCTAAGGTTTCTCACCTCAGGAAATTTTGTACATGGCAAAAATGATTCTTCATATGTTTATACTTAAAACAAGCAGATCACCATCAGAACTTTAAACACTCTCTGAAATTCCTGAACTCTACATTTACCTTAATAGGAAGAATCAAGGTATTAACACCACACTTTACATGAAACATTCCAAAGAACTGAATATGACAGATACATTTTCTTCCATTATTTCCACTGAGATAAAAGATAAATGTCTCAAACAGGAAACACTGACACACAGGGATACAAAACAAACAGTTACTGTTTTCCAACAACATGCAGAAACAGTTTAACCCCAACATTTATTTTTCATTCCTTAGGTTTATAAAGCACTGACTTTCCTGTTTCTAGAATTAATATTAGCTGCTAAATTCAACAGTGAAACATATAAAAATCTCAATAACTAATTTTCAAAACAAAATACTTTCATTTAATGAACACAAACTAATAATCAATTTCTTAGAAAGTAAAAGTAGCTCCAAATGGTTTTAAAAAGCTACTATGCTCCTATCATTCATCAAACTGACAATGTCAAATCTTCTCCTGTAAAGTCAAGTTTTCAGAGAACAAAATAATTTTCTGGAAAACAGACATTAGTTAGAATTTTGTGTTTCCAGAAAAAAAAACTGCATTTCAAAGGATCTATCTACATAATTACTATCAAGAAAAATGAAAGTGATATACTTATTAATTCCATAAATCCTGCTACTAATCAAGAGGCAAGAATTAAAGTGAGAAGAAAAAGAAAAAAGCTTGTTTCTAACACTTGATTGATCAACCTTAAAGACTGTTATTCCACATTCATTTTCTGCGAAGACTTGTTCTGAGCAGCACAAATGCAAAGAACTTGTAGGCACTGTACAATTCCAGCATTTTGTATTTCCTCTGAAAGACTCAGGATTTAAAGGAGTATGAAATTTATAATTATTAACACCACTTAATACAAAGCATGATTACTGAAACAATGCCCAACCTCCAAATATTTCTACAGTATGAATCACAGTAATGTGCTAGCAAACTAGATTATCTGTGTTCAAGTAAGAACTCTCAAGCCACTTTCTAGTATTCTATAAATGTCCCAACAGTATAATTACAGACACTATCATTAATATACACAGATGGAAACTGGGTGTAGAGGAGATCCCCTGCTGGTTGTCTGCAGAACTGCAAAGGACTTTGGGGAAATTGCTTATTGTTCTGCAGGTTTATTTTTTTTAAGCTTTTACTAAATTTACATGTTGTCCAGAGATGCCTCGAAGGGAACATTCAAGCAAGTATGAATTATAATGAAAGAGGGCTATCTACCACATCAAAAAATAATTATTTCAAAATAACCAATTTTCAGTTCTCTCTTTTAAATTACAGCGATATGATACATAGACTTAAAATATCTATATAACGGAATAACTTGTTAACAACCCTTGGCCAAGATTACACTTTACTAGAAAAAAGAAGCCAGCACAGGATGAACTGAGGTTGTTTTCACCATGACTGTTCATATATTCAGAAAGAAAATAAAAGTACTTAACACCGCAAACTAACAGTCTGAAGCAAAAAGAATGTCTGAAGCAGTAAGTGTAACTACTAATAAAAATTTAGCTGAAAGAAATGTCAACTTGAGTAAGATGACTTATATATCATGTTAAATGAAAAGTTAAAAATGTAGTGCCACCTTTTAAAAAATCCAATTAGAAAACAATTTAACTAAATCACCTTATTTTATATATGGAAAAATGAGAACCAAAAAGGATAACGGGGGACTTTAGAATTACTTATTGCTGGAATAGAAAAAACAATCTTTCTCACCACTACCTCTCCTCTAACCATCAGTAAGATGCCATTTATCACCTCTTATCAGCAAGTATCTTAAAGTAGCCTGGAGTATGCTACATTTTTTTCATTGCCTACTCATTCTTTAAACACTTTAAATCTATTTCCTATTCATGTATCCACTGAAACAAAAAGAAACTCTGAACTAAAACTGATACAGTCTTTTCTTGTAGAAAGAAAATCAAGTATTTCTAATTAAACAAGGAAACAATAAACAATAAGTGATCTTTCTTCACCTAGATTTTTTTCAAAACTGAACACTGTCAAAAGCAACATAAACAAATAGGACCTAATTAAATTTAAAAGCTTTTGCACAGCTAAGGATACCATCAGCAAAACGAAAAGAAAACCTCAGAATGGGAGAAAATATTTGCAAGTGATGCAACTGACAAGAAACTAATTTCCAAAACATACAAACAGCTCATACAGCTTAATTTTAAAAAAAAAAGGCAACATAATCAAAAAATGGGCAGAAGATCTAAATAGACTTCTCTCCAAAGAAGACATCCAGATGGCCAACAAGCACATGAAAAGATGCTCAACATGGCTTATTAGAGAAATGCAAATCAAAACTACAATGAGGTATCACTTCACAACAGTCAAGAATGATCATCATTAAAAAGTCTAGAAACAATAAATGATGGAGAGGATGTTAAGAAAAAGGAACCCTCCTACATTGTTGGTGGGAATGTAAATTGGTGAAGCCACTATGGAGGACAGTCTGGAGGTGCCTTAAAAAACTAAAAATAGACTTACCATATGATCCAGCAATCCCATGCCTGGGCATATACCCAGAGAAAACTGTAATTCAAAAAGATACATGCAACCTGAATGTTCACAGCAGCACTATTTACAATAGCCAAGATATGGAAACAACCTAAATGTCCATCAACAGATGACTGGATAAAGAAGATGTGGTATATACACAGTGGAATATCCCTCACCCATAAAAATGAATAAAACAATGCCATTTGCAGCAACACTGATGGACCTGGAGATTGTCTTTCTAAGTGAAGCCAGAAAGAGAAAGAAAAATACCGTATGAATCTAAAAAAAAAAATACAATGAACTTATTTTTACAAAACAAAACAGACTCACAAAGAACAAACTTTTGGTTACCAGTAGGGAAAGGGGGTGGGAAGGGATAAATTGAGAGTTCGAGATTTGCAGACACTAACTACTATATGTAAAATAGATAAATAAGAAGTTTATACTGTACAGCACAGGGAACTATATTCAACATCTTGTAGTAACCTATAATGAAGAATAAAAAATGAATATATGTATGTATATGTATGACTGAAACATTGCACTGTATGCCAGAAACTGACACAACATTGCAAACTATCTATACTTCAATAAAAAATAATGCAAAATTTTTTAAAAACCTTCAAAAAACAAAAGGCAATGAAATAGTCAAAAGTCAAAGCTTTATTTTTTTAACATATTCAGTATACTTAATACCAATGAAAAGTTTTTCTACATGCTATACTATGCCCAACATTTAACTTTCTGGAACATTTATCTTATCCATTGTAGCTGTAGTCAAACTAACCAAAATATAAAAGATAACTAGACAGAAAGTATAGCAAAATATTCCCAAAACATAATTTTATCTGGACTACACTGTAACTTTCACATTTCCCTAAAAATTCAAATGAGTTTTTAACATATTAACAAGTAGAGGTGGTCAACTATGCCAATAACTTTTATGTCAGTATGGATGACACCCATACTGGTGACCGATGGCTTTGAGGGCCATTTTCCTTGAGGATAGGGCATGCTTGCTCATCTTTAATCATGAGTATCTGCAATATGGTAAGAACTTAATATTTACCAAATGAATGAATCCCAAAGAAGTAGAATACCTTGTAAAGAACTGCCTAAAATTAAGACTTTTTCAACAAAACAAGGCAAATATGTTTAACAATATAATCTGATATTCAAGTTGTACCAATATTTTTTTTAAATCACACACCTCAGTGTATTAGTTACGGGAATGAATAAAAAAGCACAAGTATAAAATATTCTCTATTAACTAACTTTCAAAAATACCTTCTGCTATTCTCCAAATGACATAAAACACTATGATAGATCATTGTAATAATGGCCCCCCAATGAAACACACTTTCCTGTGTCCACACCCCTTTGCAATATGATACTGTCACTCCTTCACCAAAGGAGTGAAATCTCCTCCATCTTCTTTTTTTTTTAACATTTTTTTATTGAGTTACAGTCATTTTACAATGTTGTGTCAAATTCCTCCATCTTCTTAAAAATGGGCTTTGCATGGACATTTAGAAAAATGTGTTCTTCCACTCTACGTGGTTTGAAAATAGTCAGATTTTAACATCTTAAATTTAAATATGCCCAGAGGTGATCTAAAACTGCTATCTCTAAATTGGTTTTTTTTTAATTCTACAAACATGCAAATATTTAAAAACTGTAAAACATCAAACTATCAAGCATGAACCGATAAAATCAAGAGTCTATTTTTGGAGTCCTCCAACTTTTTAGTACTTTACATAAAATTCAGTGCATTTTTAGTATTTTATTCTTGAATTCAACTTGTTACAGTTTCCCTTAGGCCATAAAACAGAATTTGATTAGGTCTATGCTGTCTCTGCTTAGATATTAAATATATAAGTGTTTGCTTAGCAAAAACACTTACTACTCAACATTTGAGTTTATTCATTTTAAGTACCTATATTGGGATGTATTAATAATTTACCAAAAAAAAAGGAGATGGAAGAGCTGAGCAAAGTCTCCAATAATTAGCTTTATATAGCTTGATTTAAAGTAATAAAGTTTTCCTTTACATTAAAAAATTAAGATGAATTCAGTAAGAGGAAAATGACTAAAAAAAAAATGTGTTAAACCCACTCTATAAAACATCATCTCACATAAATGTTCTCCTCAAAGAAATAATGAAGCCTTTAAAACATCCTTAGAAACTAAGTGCTCTTTCATACTGCTTATAAATATCAATGATATATAAAATCTTCAAAAATTACAATTACCTTATAAATATCAAGTCATTAACTCCAATTGAAGAAATCTTTAAAATAGGTACACTTTTATTTTTTATATTAATTATATTGAATAATGAATATATCCATATCTTATTGAAATCTCATCTTATGTAGTACTAATTCTGTAAAATTACAACAAAGAATGAAGTTTTATTTAATTCCCACAAAGCCAACCAGATACTAATACAGAAGAAAATTCACTTTTCATACCTTAAGGTAGCAATGTGCATAGCAATAATGAAGCAGATTATCAGAAGGCTGAGTAAGGCTGCTAACCACATGCACCAACTGTTCCGCGTACATTGGCACAGAATGTTCCAGATTAATTTTATCCACCAGTATCTGAATCGATGGCAAAGGCCGAACAGACTGGAAGTTTGTAGTATTCATGAAGTTACTTGAGTTCTGGAAAATAATAGTATTCACTTTATACTTCAGGAGAACAGTGACTGATGGACAAAGCTGTCTACACAAGCTTCAGACTGACACAATGATATCAAATCATCCTGGAAATGATGCCTTCCTATGGGACTCTCTTACCATAACCAAATACAAACACCTTCAACATATTTTCAGGTATGTCCCAGATTTCAAAGAATGCCTATTTAATACAAAATTATCAATGTCCTTTTAGCTAAAACTTTTATTATTTTCAATCAACTGGAATATTATCACTACATGCCTTGGAACACTGAAGGTACTTACTTAAGCTCAATGATTAAAAAAAAAATCCTAGATATCCCAGAGCTAGCCACCTTTTATCTTCTTTTCCTTCATTTAAAAGACTAAGATATTAAGCAGACAACTCAAGACAGTCTGAAAGATATGCCACAACAAGCAAAGTCTGCAGGACAGAAAAAATTCTGATCCATATCATATCTACTAATAATAATCAAGGTAAAGGTTCATAACTCCTAAGAATCTCGAGGTGGGTTTGGTATTTTCAGTGTTACAGAATCTTTCAAAGCTTCCCATAAATGCAGGTTAAGTTTCAAGATGTCCAGAGCATGAACTCTGATTAGCAAGCAACCCCTTCTAGTCCTTGAGCTTTACTCCTATACCTATAGCTCTCAATGAGGAACAGTTCAGGGGTATGCGAAAATATGTGGGAAGAGCAGTTTAATTGTTTTGTTTGTCTTTCATTATCACAATAACTTGGCAACAGTATTGGCATTTAGCTGGCATTGGCTAAAGATGGTAAATGCTACCTAACCCTTCTCTAGTACAGAAAGCCAACATGCCACTATTGAGAAACACTATGCCTAAGACTAAGCTGAACGTACAATCTTTTTTTACTCATTATTAATAATAATTTTTAAACCACCACTTATTGAGCAATTACTTTACTTTTTTAAGGAAATGTATTTCGATTACTGAAGTATACAGTAAAGGAGATAAATCTTAACTGTAGAGCTCAACAAAGTTTTATGTATGTAACCACCACACATTTCAAATACCTTGAAGGCTCCCCTATACCCTTTCTCAGGTAATATCAAATCCCACCAGAGGTAGCCAATATCCTCACTTCAATCACCATAGTTTTGTCTGTTCTTCAGCTTCATATAAACAGAATCATACAGAATATACTCACGTCTGCCTGCTTTCATCCAACATAACATGTGAGAATTATCTACTGTTCATTCTTTGAGTTGACACATCATTACAGAATGGCTCTCTTTATTTCTAATAATATTTCTTGTCTTAAACTCTACATTTTCTGATATTAAAATAGCCACTCTATCTTTTCTTTGATTAGCATTTAAATGGTATATTTTTTTCTATCTTTTTATTTCTAACTAGTGTTATAACTTTCAGTTCCGGAATTTCTTTTGGTTCTCTTTTTTCAAACAGACTGAGGTCTTTTGAAATCTTCTACTCTTTTTTTTTTTTGTCTCTTCTTCAACTTTTTAATCATAGTTAAACTTCTTGTCTGAAGTTCATGCCTAATCAAAATCAAATTTTAATTTTCTCCACGAAAACTGTCCCCAGGTGATCCCTTTACCCAGCAATTTAATAATTACTTATGAGTGGCAAATAGAGAGCAAATATACAAAATGAATCTACTGCAGCTTAATCCTCTGCCATACTTTCATACATTCTTCTTAAATTTGGGACAATTTTGACTTTCAAAGTCATCATCATTATGTAGACATCAAAAGAAATATAACCCAAAAATAAAAAATTAAAGATAACAGATAATACTTTATATATATACAGCAGTCTCAGAAAGCAACACATTGTAAATAGACCTTAAATATTAAGCATCTAGTAAGTTCTCATTAACAGTAGCAGTAATAATCATGGGTTCCTAATATATGCAGAATGGTTTACATGAATTATTTCACTGAGTATTCAAAATAATTTTAAGAGTTAGGTACTGTAGGGAAACTGCTCTGTGCCAGCTCCCTGACAATCTTAAAATCCATTTAGAACACAAAGGCAAGGCTCAACCACAGCAGTCCATCCTGTGTTACTATCAGAACAGGGGAGAACAGGTGAGGTGGTCTTGTGAGGAGCTGCTAAGAGACAATTTCTCACTCACCTTCTCATCTTGAGAAATGCTGCTATGGGACGTCTTCTCATCAGCATCCCTCATTCACATAAGATAGGGGGCTTTCCATCTGCCCCTCTCACAATACAACTGTAGGCTATATAGTTGCTTGGCTTCAGTGTGGAACTAAATCCTTGTCAAAAGGGTACCCTACCATGTGTGTTGTATGTCATTTGGCACTCTGGTTTCAGGGCTGTCCTAAAACGGACAAAGTGAGCTGATACCATTAGTGATTTGCTTTTGTTGTCTATGTAAGTAATAAACTATCTAGGCTTGCTGCTTCTTTGCTGGCTGAATCTGTCAGCTTAAAAATACAATTTCCTCTTGTTTTTCAGAAAAGGAAAACATGGTTTAGAGATATAAAACAAAGTTCATAAGGTGTCACTGCTTGTACATGGTCTGATATCTAGGCCCACGATCTTCAACATTTCTTTATAAAGCCTAAGCTAGAGATTATTTATTACATAAATATATATAAATTACTTTCTAACAGTTAAAAATCATAGTTACATTGCTTTACCTTCATCATGGATAACTTATAAACAGATATTCTTTTACTTATCATCTTCTTCAACAATATCATAGAACCAACAAATATATGTACATGAGAAAACAAGTAGTGAATCACAAAATATACCTTTTCTCCCATAATGACAGGTAGCAAATGGTCCAGCAAGTTGAATTCAGCCATGAAAATTGTGCATGTACATTTGAGGAGAGTAACACTTGTATGTCGAGTAGGAATATATTCCTCCAAAGATGCTACTTCCTCAGGATTCCGCATTGTTTCATTTTCATCCTTAATATCTAAAGTGAAATAATAATCAATAAACTCTTAATCTTTCATTAAAAGAATAACACCTTCTGTTCATAAAAACACCACTGGGATCATGTAAAAGCAAGCCACAGACGGGGAGAAAATATTTGCCATAGACAGATACACAGACATACATAGATATTGCCACAAAGGACTTGTAGCCACAGCATATTAAAAATCAAAAGCTTTAAAAACTTCTAAAAAACAATAATACACAAATAATTCAATAAAAAATGGGCAAAAAAAGACATGAACAAGCAAAAGATAATATACCCAAATGGCCAAAAGATATGTCAAAAGTTAGTTAACATCATTAGGCATCAGACAATTGCAAATAAAGTCAAAATGTGATAGCACTACACACCCACCGAAAACGCTTAAAATGAAAAAGACTAAGATTACTAAAAGTTTGTAAGCATGTAAACCAAATATCAGCAAACTTTTTCTGTTAAGAGTCATATAGAAAATATGTTAGTCTTTTGGGCCATACCGTCTCTGTCACAATTACTCAATTCTGCCGCTGTAAGACAAAAGTAGCCACAGACAACACATAACTAAATGAGCTTGACTATGTCCCAATAAAACTTTACCTATGAAAACTGAAAATTATATTTCATATAGCTTGTCACAAAATATGATACTTCTTTGTATTTTTTCCAACTGTTTAAAATGCAAAACCCGTTATCAGTTCATAAGGTGCAGGAGGAGG